GAGAAATTGGAAAACTGTAGGGGAGTTACTAAATTTTTAAAATATTTGAGAGGCTTGTAACTCAATGCTAGTATACACGTATATAGTATATGTATGTATATACATACAGGAATCAGGGACAGGAAATGAGCCAGTATGTGGTGCCTGCCCAATAAGTACATGCATCACTGCAAACAACACTAGGTTAATCCATCAGCTTCCAGCCGTGAGAACTTCAAATTCAGCCACCATCGGGGGACCGCAGGAATCCACAAGTCTAGCTCATCTGAAACAGCACCACCAGACAGCACAGACAGAACAAGCTGACAATTGTCCAGCCCAAAATTAAGTTTTACCTTCAGCCTTAGCTCAGTTCTCATTACCTTCATCTCAAGCATTCCCAGAATTAACAAGTGTATGGCTACCCATAATTAGTTTCTTTGAGGACACCACTGCTGTCCTTACCAGTCAACAGTCCCTAACCTAGCCAAGAGTCTTCATAAAAACTAGAAGCTTTCATTCCATGATTAAACTCCACCTCCCTCCACCAAGGCAAACACTAGCCCCAGTTGGCTTAGCAAAGGCAAGTCCTATTTCAGGCTTACTCAGAGAGCACTTCTAACATATCAGGCCCATCTCAGATGAACAGTTTTAAGAGTGAAATAAGCCTGTCTGGGAGCTGGGTTTATTGTAGCATGTATTAAAGATTCCACTTCTTGCAGCAGATCAAGGCACTAACAAGCCACTAACAAGCTCCAGGCTGCTAAATTGTTCTTCTTGCTTTTCAGGAGATGTAGGTAGAGCGTGTGCCCTCGCTCCCCTCCTCCTTCTGAACGTACAGGCAGAATTAGCATCTAAGCAAGGGATGGGATTCAGGATTCTGATTTCTCCAGTCCATCCTGAAGAATGACTTAACCCCTGAGGTTAGAGGCGGCTGCAATACTTAACTTCACATGCTTACACAACTAGACCATTAGTATCTTTTAAAACAATCTCACCACTGGTTCTATAAAGCTATGTAAGTCTCACTCGAACGCATCCCCTTTTCTGCTTTTGAAATTCACGCCACGAAACCAGGAAATGCCAGAGTTACAAAGAAGGTTCTGCAATTAATGTTATCCAAGATGGTCATCTCAGCTAATGGGAAGCAGCACTTCACTCTCTCCCTCTGAAGAAGGGATGGCTGTTTGTTTGAGGAACAGAATACAACTCCATTCTTAATGATTTGAACTAGTGAGCCCAGCAAATCACCAGTGTCATCACAGGATAAGAGACATGCTGTCTCTAGAGTAAGAGACATGATAAAAAACACCTCACAAATTAATTCAGTTTAAAAAAACATGTTAAACCAAGAAGTACTTGAGGGAGCACTCATTATTGTATGCACATGTATATAGGTATAATACTAGTTACACGGATACACACATAAATATTTAATATATAAAAAATAAAGTGCTTTCTATCAGGCCCCAATGCAGGGACATTATAAAACATTTCAACAACTGCAAAACAACTCAATACAAAGAATAGTACATCAAATGCACATTAAAACAGTTAACACACTATGTACAACCTGGGGAATGTCCCAAGACAAAACACACGTTCATATATACAGTATATACATATATATTCATCTTTACTTGATATATTATGACAATATATATTTCAAAACTTTGTTACAGACAAAAAAAACCCTACAAAAAAGGCAACAAGGGTCAAGCACACAAGTCCAAGACCAAGAAAGAATTTGCTGCCCTTGCCCACACCTCCACTGCTAGGAAAGATATGCCAGTGCTCTCTTCTGGGGTGCAGCGCCTCTACATCCTGCAAGGCACTGTGGGCAGCAGCCGTGAAGTTAGCATCACCAGTTGTGAGTAGGTCAAATACACACGAGTAAAAATAGAGGTCCTTCACCAGCATCTTCTCGTAGCATGTGGAGGTGGCAGTTTCCAGTGTGTACACTGACCGGGGATACGCAGCACCACCCTGAGGGAGCAACGGCCCCATCACAGGCAATGGCAAGCGGCCGCTGTCATCGATGCGTTCGCTTGAAGGGCAACCGTTCACACACAGCTGCAGATCCTGGCTCTCCTCGTAGGCCGTGACCAACTCCTGAGGCATGCGAATGGCCAGCGTTAGGTAGTGCCCAAGCTGGCGTATGTACACCGTGGTCCCAATGTAGCTGGCATGCATTTCGACGTATTTGCCACTGACCTTCTCCACAATTCGCAAGCTCTTGGTGTTCCCATCACCTCCGCTTGTTGTGCCGTCAACAAAAGCTGCAGGCAAGTCATCAGTCACTGCTTGATACACTTTCTGATCTGTGCAGTCTTGGTATGACTTAAAGATAATAGTTATCTGGGAGGGCAGTGAGGGGGAGGGAAGGGGAAAAAAAAAAAGGAAGGTTAGTGGAAAAAATAATTTTAATCCTTTTTTCCATTTTGCAGCTGAACATATCTGGGACTGCCCACTACATCAGAACTTGATAGTTGTCCCCAAATCATACCTAAAGGAAAACAACCTGCATACACGCTTAAAGCAATGTTTTACCACATGGCTATTGTTAATTTACTCTTACACTGGCCTGGAAGCGTGTGGCCGTCAGGAAAGGAAAAGGCTTTGTATTTTAAGCATCACAACTCCCTCCTGCCTGATGGTTTCCTAAGAGTTCGGAACGCATCCTGCAGTCACAGAGAAGAGTAAGTGGCAAGTAATTCCCACAATACTAGCCACTATGGCAAAAACAGAATGAGACTGTGAAATCATGGAAGGTACAAGAGAACTCGGCTTCCCTCACTCCCAACGTTCTCATTCTTCCTTTTACGGTATGACTGTAGTGGGGGTACTGTACACCTGTTGGGTGTGCTGCCAGGATTAGCTGTGCGAGACTCCTTCAAGATCAAAGATGTGTTTAGTGCTCTATCAGGCACCGACACGACAGGCAGCGAGATGACAGATGCATGACCAGGAAGAATAAAACGCTGCTTAGGGCTGCTGGATCCGCTAGTCCTAGAACTGGGAGGTTTGAAACTTCCAGTCCACTATTGCTAGAAAATGTGCCCGTGGAGAAACAAAACAAAACTGAAAGATACTCAGAAGACATGCCTTTGAAGGCTGAGTTCCAACACAGAAACCAGGAGCATAAAGCAATTACTCATTCTTTTAGTATTACGACTTGCCTTTTAAGCCTTTACACTTACTTGAATAAGCCACAACAGAACGAGTAAGTCCTCCAGTCTTACTTGAAGTGACTAATTAGCCTATTTGGCGGACCAAGTTGTGAGTGCATAGTGGCTTTCCTAAAATTAAAAGTATAATGAAGAATCACATATAAATATTAGAAACAGACATGCTACTTCAAGAATTTCAGAGGGGAGTGACTTCTTGAAAAGGTCAAAGGGAATGTTGCACCAGGAATAAGTATTTTAATCATTATTTTCATCATTGACTGATTACATCAAAATTACTTACAGTCTAGGATTTAAGCAGTCTGCTACAAAAGTCAGAGTACTCCAAAACAGAAGACAATTTCAATCTAACATTACGCTTTTTTCCTTAAAATCTACTCTATAACAACTCAAAATTTAAGTTCAGTTAACCAGCACACTTCTGCACAACAGCTTCTGTTTCCTGCCCCGATGCTTTGAGTAAAAGCTAGAGATAAATAAACAGCTGATTACAGACCCTACAAACAAAACAAAACAAAACCTCAACCCTCATTAGCCTCACCTCTCCATACCAGCTGTATAGAACAGAAGTCTTCCTTTCTCCTTCCTCCCATCGCAACATTTTCCCCTTTGGAGTATGCAGACATACCCTAAAGAGTATTACGTTACTTCTCAATGTCTGGTTTGTCCCTGCTGGTCGACACTGCGTCAGTCTCTCTCTCCCATCCACACAGACAATACTTGCTATTTTGATGCTGTATTTTCCCACCAGTGGTGCCTGACTGGAGTTTTCCAATGTTTTTTCTTTCTGTTAATCAGTTATACAGCTAGCTTGGGACCACTGGTAACCCAGTTTGGTAAACTGGTGTCTGTGGATCACAGCTAAGCGTGAATGCCTACGCCCAAAATCCAGAAAATGCACAAGTGCCCATGTTGCTGCAAAGACCACCTCACAACTCTACGCCTAGTGAAGTAAACTCAGTAACCCAGAGAAGAGAAACCTCAGATCTGTCAAGTGGCTCAGGATGGCACACTTTTCCTCAGCTTCTATCTGGCATATTCCTGGCAAATTTGTTATGTCCCCCTCCCCCCACTTCGATTACATGATTGATTCCAATTGTTCTTGAAGGCAGTATAAAATTCACTTTGGGGTAAGAAACTTCACAATCCCTTACACAGTATCTCCCATTCATTTTAAAAGCAAAAAGGGTATCATTAAGATTTAAACTATCTTCGTTTTTTCCAACAGATCCTAGGTTACCAAGGGTTCATGTCCATCCACCAGAAAACTTCCCTTCCCGTGCAAACACCTGACCGAACTCTCATCATAAAATGCCCAAGTAGGGGATAAAATAACAAAGGGATGTGGCTTGCCAGCCCTCTTTCAGGGAAGTTAACAAATTTAACAGGGATTACAAAAAATCGCAGCCCTTCCTCGGCAGGTTGAGGCAAGGCAATACACATACCCTGCTCAGTATGATTCCACACTCGTACAGACCCCTTAATGAGTTCCCATGCTAAATTTCAGTCATCATGGTTCTTTCCTCCCATGGTGGCAAGGCATATGAAATATGTCTTCCAAAACAGTGATTCTGGTGATAACATTACAAAAACCAGGAGGCTAAGTATTATAGAGACAAGCGTAACAACTGTGATGATCATGTGCCTTCAGCTCGCCGGGTAGTCCCAGTCGCTGGTCTAGATTCCTTTTCTCTGCAGACAAAAAGAAAAATAAGGAGAGAACTCGGTTCACCAGGAACCGCTTTTAAAACGATGGAATGATCCACCGAGTGTTAATGTTCTTTGCCATGGGCATCGGTGGCTGCCCAGGCATTTGAGGGAGCTTTCAGTCAGGGGCACTTGCCCCTTGGTGGGTAATTCTACCAACACTGGCTGTCCAGGATAGTGGAGGGGCTCTACCGTATCCCTGTTCTCTTTGTTCCCAGGAATAACAGGGGGTCGGTTTGGACAGAGGCTGTAGGTAAACCACTCATTCCTCAGTGACTACTCATTTTGGTGACTGCTCAGTTAGTCACCAGGCCCATCTTGAATTGTGTGGTTTTAAGACCCATTTTAATAATCCATTAATATGTTCCACTATACTATTTACCTGAGGATAACGGGGTGCGGGAAAAAACCATTCTATCCCCTCCTCCCTTGTCCAATCCTGTATTACTGTCGCTGTGGAGTGACTTCTATTATCCGATCGGATGGACTCTGGCCAGGGCAACTAACTAAACCATTGCCTCAGGATCTTGAGTGCTATCTCCTGTCGCCCATTTTACAGCCATTGTTTGGGTTGATCCTGAGATAACTTCTAATCCCGCTGAAACATATTGTTCCTCTCTGAAATCTGAAAAGGACCTATACAGTCTCCCTGCCACATATTCCAGAGTTTCTTCCCATCCTGCAGTACTTTTAGGGGATTGTTTTCCAGGCGTGTCCAGCATACTCCACATGCAGAGATGATTGTGTTACACAGTTCTCCAGTTCCAGGCCACCCACTACTACTCGCTTCCTTGAAAAAGTCCTTAGTTTCAGAGTGGCCACATTTAACACGTAGCAGTGTTAACAACAGTTTCCATTTCTCTTCCTCAACCTTTAGCCCAAGAGTTTTCTTTGCTGGGGCAGATAGTAGCTAAGCAGGTGAAGGAATCTTAACTGATTACTCAAGAGGTGAGCTAAGTTAACCCCCGTTTGGTGTGCAGGCACCCACCCCACAAAAAATGTTCCTGCCTGGCAATATTTAAGATTTCTTCACACTTTTCCTTTTGCCATATGGGTACCCTATTAACTTCCCCAATTATTTTGGCCCCAGAAGGGAAGCCATTCAGCACTTCCTTTGAAAACTGCACGTCAGTATAAGTGAATATCAATTCCTTGGTTTCAGCTTCCTTAACACACTCCAAACCGCTACCAATTCTCCCACCTGTGCCCTACGCTCTCCTGTTACGATTCTGTCTTTTGTGTCATGGTTCAGAGCTACCGTTCGGTATTGCCACACCTCCCCTTCCTTCTCTCCTAGAGGATCCATTGGTGAACCACATATTTTTGATGTGTGATTCATATGGTGGTGCCAGTTTTATACACGAAGAGGGAGGCTCCTGGTTGGGATGATGGGGAAAAGATTCCTGCATCTCAAGGAGTTTAGGTGCCCTAGGGAACGTACCTTATGCAAGTATTTAACAACTGAATACCCTAAGAGTGGAATATGCATACTGAAAAATTGTATCCACAACGTTTCTTAAGATATTACAATTTTACTACTGACCATGTCTTCCATTCACTCTCTCACCCTCAAGCTATCCACTACAAAACAGCCAGATAGGAAAAGTTCCATTTCCAGGTACTGCAAACAAGAAGTTATCCATAGGCAAGCCCAAGCATCTCTGCCTCATTTGCTATTCAGGAATAAAGATAGTGATATCCAGAACACCTGTCACAGCAATGAAAGCCAGTAACAACTCTGTACAGCTCCAAATAAAGCACACAATAAATAAATAAGACGACCCTTCTATATAATGTATTCTACAATACCCTTCTACCTGCTCCCTTGACAGCCCCTTGTAGTAGCCATTTATACTCAGGAAATCCCAAAAGCAGCTCCCAAGACAAGAGAGCTCTTTATCTACAGCTGGAAAAATCAGACAAAGATGCCAGTGACCTACCCAAAACTCATACAGGAAGTCTGTCAGAAAGAAAAAGAAAGGAGAGATTGAACTCAGTTTCCCAGCTACCTGGTGATGATCTTTCATTCGCCATATGAAAGGCCCTGGGATACCACAAGAAGAGGCATAAGCACATCAGACAAGCTCAAAAAAGATGGACTTCCAGGTTTCAGCTAAACCACAGAACATACAGTATCTTTTTTTCACTGTGAAGAAACAGATGTTGTTACTATGGGCATCTTAACTATGCAAAAAACCTTCAAATTGCTGAGAGCATTTTGTGAATAAATACACAACTCCCACAAGAGGATGTGCTTTTCAATGAAGGAATTAAAGAAGAAGAGTTTTCCTATTTCTCTACCAGACACATGGAGGGTTGGGGAGAAAACATACTTTTGTTCTTCATATTCTCTTTTAAGAATACAAGAATATTATGTTTTAAGAGTAACTCCTGGCACTTAATTTTCTACTCTTTTTGCTTTTGCTTTCATTAGGTCTGCTTTAGAGCAGGTTATGTAGGCTAGTTAGTAATTATGTGCTTTGACTTCTGCCCAGTTTAGTTCAGCATAAACCTTTATTATTATTTCCCATTAAAGATATATCTCAATCTGCAAGGAAAAAGCAGCAAGACTAACAATGGATTATATTCTGGAAACTTTCCTTATGAAGAGGGTATAAGACCTATATTGATGCTCTCAGCTAGGTAAAACACACTACATAAAGAGCTACCAAGAGACTTTAAGGTTGACTTAAGCCAAACTGTGGTCAAATTTAGGAAAGTACACCCAGCAGCAGATAAGGGTGTACCACCCTACAAGCAAAATGGAATGCTTGCAGAGATATAGCAATGAAACTAGTAGTGGCACTGTAGATTGACAAGCCTTTTCTGTATCTTTTATAACATCCAGCTCCATAAAGAAATAAAGGAGTCAAGAGCATGCATTAGAGATATTAAAACTTATCTTGCTGAGTCACTCGTACATTCAAACAACCTTCATTTCCTACAAAGAGGTGTGCTGATAAATTTGATTGGCTGCCAAAGATAGATAAAAATCCAGGACTGTGCAACATGCAACAGGTATTAGCATTAGAGACATTTCTAACATCCTAAACCACACATCTTACTTAACTGCTTCCGCACACTTAGCTGTACTTGTGCAACAGCAGGGATGTTAAACCACTGTTATAATAGAGAAAAATCTACTACCACTGTTTCCAGAATGACAAGTCAAAGAAAAACACAAAAACATTGTGAATTGATAAAGATAGAATATATACCCTTTAAAACCCATACTTTTCCCCAGTACATAGAGACATTTGTCTCCTGAAATTCTCAAACAGATAACCAAAGGAAGACCATGCTACCACAGCCAATCATTTTCAGAATGTGGCTAAAGGGTAAGGTAACATCACTTACTCACTACCATCGCACCCTAGCCACCCACACAATTTGTGCACAGGAAGACTCTCAACTTTTTCCTCCAGTCCTACTGCAAACCAATAACATTCTGCAAGACTTCAGCAAAACTAAGGATAAAAGCTTACTGCAGATTATGAAACACAGCTTTTTCTTGTACTTCTTAAGAGTCTTTTAAAAAAGCCACTGGAGCAGATTTGAAAGGACTCAAGATTCTTTCACAAAGCTGTCATGGTTTAACCCCAGCAAGCAGCAAAGCAACTCCGAGCTGCTTGATCACCTGCCCCAATATTAATGGTCTTGAAACCGCATACACATAGCCTGACATACCTTGACTATACAAGAGCTACACTACCACAGTGGGAATGAGAGATGTGACAGAATCAGCTTCAAATGTATGTTCAAGGAATTTCTTTTACTGACAGACAGGATGACATAGGATGAGGAAAAGCCTGGGGTGCTTAATGCCTTCTTTGTCTCTGTCTTTAATAGTAAGACCCACTGTCCTCCAGGTACCCAAGTCCCTGAGCTGGAAGACAAGAAGCAGAATGAAGCTCCCAAGATTCAAATGAAAATGGTTAATGACCTGCTACACAACCTAGACACCCAACAAGTCTATGGGGCTGGATGGATCCTCCAGAGTGCATTGGGCGATCTGTTAATGTTCTAAAAAAGCCACTTTCCATCATCTACCAGCAGTCTCAGCTAACTGGGGAGGTCCCAGTTGACTGGAGGTTAGCCAATGTGATGCTCATCTACAGGAAGGGCCTGGAGGAGGATCTGGGCAACTGCAGGTCTGTCAGTCTGATCTCAGTGCTGGGGAAGATTATGGAGAAGATCATCCTGAGTGCCAACACGCAGCATATACAGGACAAGCAAGTGATCAGGCCCAGTCAGCATGGGTTTATGACAGGCAGGTCCTCCCTGACTAACCCAATCTCCTTCTATGACAAGGCGACGCACTCAGTGTATGAGGGAAAAGCTGTGGATGTTGTCTACCCAGACCTTAGTAAAACCTCTGACACTGTTTCCCACAGCATTCTCCTGGAGAAACTGGCAGCATATGGCTTGGACAGGACACGCTTCACTGGGTAAAATAACGGATGGATGGCAGGACCCAAAGATTGGTGGTGAATGGTGTTAAATCCAGCTGGTGGCCAGTCA